GCCCGACGCGAGACCCGATCCCAGGACCCTGGGATCATGACCTGAGCCGAAGGCAGACGCTTAACCAACTGAGCCACCCAGGTGTCCCTTAAATCATCTATTTTTAAAATAAATATTACCTTTTTAAAATTTTTCAGTATAGTTAACATATAGGTTAGTTTCAGGTATATAATATAGTTTCAACAATTCTATACATTACTCAGTGCTCATCAAGATTATGTGTACTCCTAATCCCCTTTACCTAGTTCACCCATCCCCCCATCCACCTCCCCTCTGGAAACCATCTATTTGTTCCCTATAGTTTTTTGTTTGTTTGTTTTTAAGATTTTATTTATTTGACAGAGAGAGACACAGCAAGAGAGGGAACACAAGCAGGGAGAGTGGGAGAGGGAGAGGGAGAAGCAGGCTTCCCACCAAGCAGGGAACCTGACACAGGGCTCGATCCTAGGACCCTGGGATCATGATCTGAGCCGAAGGCAGACGCCCAACTATCTGAGCCACCCAGGTGCCCCCGTTCCCTATGGTTGACTCTGGTTTTTGTTTTGGAGGGTTTTTTGGGTCTTTTTTCCTTTTGTCCCTTTGTTTCTTAAATTCCACCTATAAGTGAAATCATTTGGTATTTTTCTCTCTCTGACTTATTTGGCTTACCACTATATTCTCTAGCTCCAGCTATGTTGTTGCAAATGGCAAGATTTCATTCTTTTTTGTGGCTGAATAATATTCCTCTGTGTGTGTGTGTGTGTGTGTGTGTGTGTGTGTGTGTATCTCTCACATCTTCTTTATCCATTAATCTATTGATGGCCACTAGGGCTGCTTCCATAATTTGGTTATTGTAAATAATGCTGCAAAAAACATAGGGGTGTGTATATCCTTTGGAATTAATATTTTCATATTCTTTGGGTAAATACGCAGTAGTGGAATTACTGGATCATATAGTAATTCTATTTTTAATTTTTTGAGGAATTTCCATTGTCTTCCACCAGTTTGCATTCCCACCAACAGTGCACGAGGGTTCCTGTATGTCCACATCCTTGTCAATACTTGTTTCTTGAGTTATTTTAGCCATTCTGATCAAGATGTGGGTGATATCTCATTGTGGTTTTGATTTGCATTTCCCTGATGAAGGGTGATGTTGAGCATCTTATGTGTCTGTTGGCCATCTGTATGTCTTCTTTGGAGAAATGTCTGTTCATGTCTTCTATTTTTTAATTGAATTATTTGGGTTTTTTTTATGTTGGGTTATATCAGTTCTTTATATATTTTAGATACTAACCTTTATTGGATATATCATTTGCAAATATCTTCTCCCATCCAGTAAGTTGTCTTTTGGTTTTGTTGATAGTTTACTAAACAGAGAGCTTTTTATTATTTTTTTAACTTTTCAAAACATTTTATTAGTTGAGAGAGAGAGAGCGAGAGAGAGCACGAGCAGGGTGAATGGCAGAGGGAGAAGCAGACTCCTTGCTAAGCAGGGCACCCAATGTGGGAATCAATCCCGGGACTCTGGGATCATGACCTCAGCTGAAGGCAGACGCTTAACCCACTGAGCCACCCAGGCGCCATCTTATTATTATTTTTAAAGATTTTATTTATTTGAGAGGCAGAGAGCACAAGCAGGGGGAGGGACAGAGGGACAAGCAGACTTCCCACTGACCCACCACCCAGGCACCCCTGTTTATTATTATTATTATTTTTTAAGATTTTATTTATTTATTTGACAGAGAGAGAGAGCACAACCAGGGGGAGCAGCAGAGGGAAAGGGAGAAGCAGGCTCTCCACCAAGCAAGGAGACCGATGCAGGGCTCGATCCCAGGACTCTGGGATCATGACCCAAGTTGAAGGCAGACGCTTAATGGATTAAGCCACCCAGGCGCCCCACCCCAATTTATTTATTTTTTTAATTTTATTTTGAAGTAATCTCCATACTCAACATGGGGCTCAAACTTACAACCTCGAGATCAAGAGTCACACAACTCTACCCACTGAGCCAGCCAGGAGCCCCAGAACCTTTTTATTTTGATGTAGTAAAAATCTTCTATTTTTTGTAAAATACCAAAGAAATGTACATCCAATGTAGAAAAATTAGACCAAATAGATAATAAATTAAACATATACATATTCATCCACCAGTAATAATCACTTAAATATATAATATCTCAAATCTTTATACATGTGTATTTACACATATGTAAACACACATTTAAAATGTGATAATAGGGGCGCCTGGGTGGCTCAGTCATTAAGCATCTGCCTCCAGCTCAGGTCATGATCCCAGGGTCCTGGGATCGAGCCCCGCATTGAGCTCCCTGCTCCGCGGGAAGCCTGCTTCTCCCTCTACCTCTCCCTCTGCTTGTGTTCCCTCTCTCGCTGTGTCTCTCTCTGTCATAAATAAATAAAATCTTTAAAAAAAAAAAAAAATTTTTTTTAAAGTTCATGATGGTATATGGTTATGCTTTAAAAAAAAGCATAGAGAGGAGCTGAATACTGAAATACTGTGGATGAAATAAAGTGGATTTGCTTTAAAACAATTTGGGATGAGAGTGGAGGGAATATTTAAGGGCACAGATGAAACAAGACTGGTAGTAAGTTGATCGTTGTTGAAGGTAGGTGCTAGGTGCATGGTGGCTCATTACACTATTGCCTACTTTTGAATATGTTTGAAATTTTCCACATTTTAAGCAAAAACAATAAAATAATAAACTCATGGGATGCAGCTGAAGCAGGATTGGGTGGGGGGAAGCCTACATTAGGGGAAAAAAAACCCAAAGGTTGAAAATGAATGAGGTAAGCATCCAACTGAAGAATAAACCTAAGGAAGAAGGAAATAATTAAGAAATGAACAAGAATCAATGAAATGGAAAATAAAGGTAGACTAGAGAAGAAAATAAAAGCCAAAACTGATTCTTTGAAAAATCTAATAACTGATCAAACAAATAAAAATGAAAAAAAGGGGCATGACAATAGAACAGATTAAAAAAATATGAAGAAATAAGGGAATTCTATTGCCAAAAAAAAAAGAAAACTAATACAAAAGGGTCAAGTTTAAAATGGAAAAGAAAGGTATGAATTACCAAAAATGGTTCACAAAAGATAGAAAACCTGAATGTTCCTACAACCATTTAAGAAATTAAACCAGGATTTAAAAATCATCCACAATGAAAACTTTCAAGAAACGGATAATTCTAATTATTTTATAGAGATTATTCCTGAAGATGGAAAATGAGGAAATACTCTTCAACTCATTTATAAGACCTATATAACCTTGATACCCAAACCACACAAGGATATTATAAGAAAAGAAAATTACAAGCTAATCTCATTTAGAAATAGAGATGTAAAACTTCTAAAAACAATTAGCAAACTTAATTCAACGGGATATAAAAAGGTCATGATGTCATAACCAATTTGGGTTGATCTTAGAACATCTATTAATGTCATTCATCATATTAACAGATTAACGGAGAAAACTTATGATCACCTCTGTAAATGCAGGAAAGGATGTCTGATAAAATTCAACATCAATTCACATAAAAATTCTTACCAAAACTTCCTTAACGCCATACATCAACATTATGCTAAGTGAAGAAGTATTACAATAGTCCCTTTAAAATCATTAAGGAGCCAAAATGCCCAGTATCATCACTTCTATCCACTGCTGCATTGTAGGTCCTTAGCTATTACAGTAAACTAAGATAAACATAAATAAATAAGGAAATAAGGATTAGAATGGAAATTTAAAAAATGATATTATTTGTACAGGATATGAATTGCCCACACAGAAACCCCAAAGCATCTACAAGTAACATGGTGGCTGGCTATAATATCAATAAGTAGGATAATGGCTAGCTATAAGATCATATAAAATTAAGTCAAACAATAAACTGAAATGTAATTTTCTAAAAGACACAACACAGCTTATATGGTATCTATAAATATATCTAACAAAAATGTCCAAGACATTCAACATCCCAACAAGGGTTTTTGTGCAATATCAAAAACTGATTCTAAAATGTGCATGGAATAGCAGAATATCTATAGTTTTTACATTCCTTAAAAAAAAAAAAAAGCAAAAAGCATAAGGTAAACGGACTTGTCCTACCAAATATAAAGACTCAGAAAACTGCACTCTATTATCTTTTTAGAAGCACCACTGCAGATCACTGGGGAAAGGAGGGGCTATTTAATAAATGGTCCTGGATCAAATGGTTATCCTTAAGGAAGAAAAAAATAAATCTAAATGGAATAGGGGCTTGAGTACAAAATGCTAAAATTTAAAAATCATTCTTAGAAAAGAATAAAAGATCAAGATTCTGCCAAATTTGAAAATACCTGCATATGGAGCCATTCCTAATATAGTGGGCATCAGGCCTCTGTAAAATCCAAGGAAACCACCTTCCTTTTGAATGAAGAAAAATTAGAAGTGAGATTATATTGTGCTTAGTATGAAAACATCAGAAAAACAAAACCTACATTCCAATGAAAAAATTATTTTGGAACCCACCCTTAAACATAGATGTGTCATAATTATTATTAATATCAACCATAAAAGAGTTTAAATAACATTCAAAATATCAGTAGAACTTGTGACTCTTGATCTTGGGGTCAAGAGTTCAAGCCCCATGTTGAGCACAGAGCTTACATAAAAAAAAGGGGGGGCACAATATAGGTGAGAAAAGTAAATGTGAAATACCTTTGCATAAATTGTTTTGAATGCATGAATAATTCCTGTATAAGTGTGTTCCCCTTTCACCTGGAATGCTAGGCGTACTCTCACCATGTCAAGAGGGTAAGTACAGATAACTGCTGTCATACCTGAAAAAAAAGTAGAAACTTAAATGTAAAATCATATATATGTATCTTCCTATCATTAGTAGTGTTCTCAAATTACAGCGATGTTGAAAACACAATGCAATAAAAAATGATAGTTTACTGAGAATTATATCATAATATCATCAGCTGAAAAACAACCTTGTAAGCAAAGGGTCACTTTGTAAAATCTTTTCAAATTCTTCCCACTGTGAAGTTATATTATTAACAGGAAAATAGTACAGGATAGGTGGATCACGAGTATTTTTTTTAATTCTATTTCTTGTCTATTCCCAGGTAGGATACCAGAAAGAAAAAACTATCTTCTAGCACTAGGCATTTGACTTTTTATTTACTATCTCTGATCCTAAAATGAAGAGATGCTTTACTTACCAAAGGAATTCTTTTTTTTTTTTTTTTAAGATTTTATTTATTTATTTGACAGAGAGAGTGAAGGTGTACACATGAGCAGTGGAAAGGGAAACGGAGAAGCAGGCTTCCCGATGAGCAGGGAGCCTGACACAGGGCTCAATCCCAGGACCCTGGGATCATGATCTCAGCCGAAGGCAGATGCTTAACCAACCGAGCCACCCAGGCGCCCCTTGGAATTCTTATAAAAATAAAATAAAGGCATTTTTTTTTAAAACTTCAAAGCATGATCATTATTTTCTTTTTAGTACTTTGGTAAATTTGTTGTTGATGAAACATAATAAAAATATAAATGCTCATAGTCATAGAAAAATTTGTTTTAGGAATAAAAATCTGATAAGCAAATTTAGTATTAAGTTCTAGATTTTCATCAATATATAATTTTCAAATTGCATGAACTATCCAGCTGAGCTATTTTAATTAAATCATCTATTTTTTTTAAAAGATTTTATTTATTTATTCATGAGAGACAGAGAGAGAGAGAGAGGCAGAGGCAGAGGGAGAGGCAGGCTCCCCGCAGAG